TAAATAATTATATAATTATTATGAGATATATATCAAATTTATTATTTATTTTTCATATATTATTTTATTGAAATGTAGTTTAATTGTTAATATGTTTGAGAAATAAAATGAGAATTTATTTAATTTAATAAAAGTATATCTAAATTTAATAAATTTTATACTTAATGTAATGTTATTAAGAGATAATTGGTTAATTCTAAATTATGCTGTAAACTTAATGTTGATATGATTTCATATTATGAAAATTAATTTATCAAATAACTGATCTCTTATTTATTAGTAAAGCTAATTGATAAACAAATAATGATCTCGTGAACTTTAAATCTCTATTGATTGCATTTTCACTATTTGAATTACACTTGTCCTCAAAGTTTACTTTTGATTGATATTTAATTAGAGATAATTTAAGAGTAATTTCCAATTCTATTGTAATTATTAAAAGTTACAAATGTTGAAAATGTTGAGAATTATATCAGTAATTCTGTACATAAATTGCATTCATTGTGAAAGTATATGCGATTTATAATTTAAGTATTAAAAGCTCATTTTAGTGGCGGGTGGTGGTGGGGAGTAGAGTGGTGTAACGGTTAGAGTGTCTGCTTAACAAAAGCTAAGTTAAGGTTAATCAATAGGAGACCACATTAAAGGAGATGTATAGGGGGACATGAGATCGCGCCCTTAAGGGGGGGGAAAATTATTTTTTATTAAAAGTTTTAAAAAGTTTTCAAGTACTTTATAAACATAATGCTGTTTTATATCGTACCTTAAATTACATAAAAGATTGGTATTGTGTTCACAATCAAATAAATTGATTAATAATTTTTAAGTAGAAATAATAATTAACAAAAATTGCATTCTTTTATATCATTAATATATCATAAAATTAATTGCAAAACTAGTTATTAAAATCAATGAATATTCTAAAAAATAAGACAAAACATTTTATTGAAAAGTCACAAATGTATTTATAAAATGTGTTGATTTATATATAAAAACAGAATAAAATAATTAACAATTTGTTAAATGAATTAAGAAAATAAACATTAGATTATAATATGCGAGAAATGAGTACAGAGGCTACCGGTGCCGATAACATACAGCCCTTAAAGTCATACATTGGGCGTATTCGGGCCTTTATATTGTGAGACAGACCTAACCTTTTGCTGCCCTTTAATGAGTTCCTGATAATATCCGGAACCGGTTGACTCCACTCTCATATTGTTTTTGTCTTTAGGACTTACGGCGGCCTTTGGCTCCTCTTTGGGTCTCTTATTAAGTTTCTCGTTGTCTGGCACTCGCTTAGACACCTGTCCACTGGGGGTCTGTCCGCTCTTATTCTTATCTGTCTGCGCCCTCATTAGGTCCGCACACTTTTGCTCAACTATTTTATATGTGTCGATAACCCACGGATTTTCTGTCAACGATTTCATTGTGGCCCTACTCTTGACGTTCGGGTCTAACATCAACTTCACGATCATTTCGAGCAGAGGAGTGGGATGGTGTCCGCCCCGTCCGCCCCAGACGTACGCCTTCTTATGCATGAGACGAACCACTTTTCCGACCCTCATTTTGTTGGTCGACGGGAAGGGCTGTTCGCTGGTGAACAGTTGGAAGAGTATGACTCCCAAAGCCCACACGTCCGCCATGAAAGGGTTGTACTTATATTTCGACTTATTGTCCCGTTTTCTGTCTAGCATTTCGGGCGGCTTTTGAATATTAGAAATTAGTATTTCAATGACTCGTTAATCAAATTCATTCAAACCATATAAGCGGTGGTCCCGCAGAAGGTCTTCGCCTCAAACGCCTCGATACCGATGCGCTCCTCCGTCTCGGCGTACACTTTGCATAACCCGAAGTCCGAGATAAGACAGTCGTGGTTGACGTCGAGCAACACGTTCTGCAGTTTGAGGTCCCGGTGCGCTATACGTTTGTTATGCATGTAGACCATTGCACTCAACATCTGCGCGAACCAATACCGGGAGTCCTTCTCGTCAAACGGTCCCTCCTTATGGAGCAGATCATAGAGAGTGCCTTTGGGGGCAAAATGCATGAATATATACAGAGAGATGCGTTTGTGTCGGGACTTCCTCTTAGGATCGCTCTCCACGAGCATGAAGTGGTCGAGGAGTTGGATAATGTGCGGGTGTTTCAGCTTCTGGAGGGTATAGAGTTCCTGTTTGATGGACTGGAGGCCCTTCTCGCGCTGCCTCCTAGACTT